GATATATCATTTGTAAAATTACTTTACCTGTTATGGTTTTCCCTCTCCTCTTTCTGTTCCTCCTCCCCTTATCAAATATTTATTGCACATCAAGTATTCTGTACCAGGTGATAGGGACAGATAGATAAGCTAGCTGTCACTCCACCCTCAAGGAAGTTCCTTTCTCATTGGGAAGCAAACAGTGAAAAACAAATACACAATTTATATTTTAACTATAATTAGTTATAAAACTAGTTGTGACTAGTTAATTATAACCAGTCAGTTATTTCATGGTTCTTATATCAATCTTCTAATGGAACGTTCATTGAAAACCACAGGAATTGGTAGTACCCTCCGCCCCAAATGTTATTAAAACCTGTATACTAGAGTCATAACTAATTTTATATGCTAACCTATTGTTTTGCCCAAGTGTATGTAGCAGTAATTTTGTTTTATTTAACATAAAATTATATGTAACATATGACATTTTATATATTCTGTATGATTTTTATATTACATTTTATACTGATGTATTTTATACTTTTTCATACGTAGTCATGACTTTCCAAATTAAAGTGGAAAGAACCAGAAAAACCTCACAGATACTTTTTATAAAGACATTTATGTAACAGCAATAAGGAACCTCATAACATTTAAATGAAGAACAAAGAGAAGGGGGATTTTTTCAGGTTTTCCTTATTATCTTTAAAAAATGTTTGATTTTCACCTTGCAGGTACATTACTTGATTTTACAGCTGAATGTCCCACGAAGTAAGGTGTGTTGTAAGGGTGGTCTATGGTAATACAGGGACTGTTCCTTACTTGATATTTCCATTTGCATAGTAGAATTTTTTTCATGTTTTTCAAGAGGTGCTTTGAATCTTGTTAGCACATAGTATGTTAGCTTACTTAAATAGCTATTTGTTAACCTTTGGCTAGAAATATCTCTTGTTACCTTTTGACTAGAGATTCTATTAAGTCAGAATACTCTTTAAAAGCAAGGGTATTTCACGAATAATTCTTACAACACTAGTAAATACCATGTTACATTTTATATATATGGTAGGTATAATTAATCACACATTTTATGTATGTGAACAATGCAGGCTTATATAGAGAGATCTGCTTAAAATGTTTAAATCTATGTAAACAACTACAATGGGCGATTTTAAATTATTATGGAGAGTGCATGACCGTCTCCATTAGACTTGGTATCTCCAGATCAGGCTTCTGAGCAGTAGAGTCAGCTAGGCTCTGTTTCTGTGTTTTAGTATTGTCATGTCAAAAGGAGAGTTGGTCTTGTTGGTCTTCATTGTCCTCATATATCCTTGAGTTAATGACAGTGTCAGCATTTTCAGCCTAGTTCCAATATTAAGTTCTTTGTCGTATACTTAACAAGTGAAGAGTAACATTGCTTGTGAACCAGTCTTTTTATGTACTAGTCAGTGCCCTAAAAAGTTCATCATTATATAATGTGACTGCAGATTTTTTTTCATTGTGAAAGCTCTTCTGTGAGCTTTCTAGGGAGCAACTTAGTTATTTGTAGAAGAGGTCTAAGTCATTTGAATTTGAACTTGAACTTTGTGGTAAGCTTGATTTTTCTCCTTCATATAATGTTTTTAGAAAAGCAATTTTTCTTTCCCTGACTTTTTGCAGATCCTTGCACATAGCAGGCACTCAATAAATATTTATTGAATTGAATTGAATTTGACCTGCTTTGAAGTCATAGCAATAGTGTAGGGTTATTCATTTTCAGCTGGAGCTGTCATAAATCACAGAGTGTAATACTAATCCAACAGATGAACTGCAAACTCATAGTACAGCATTGTTTGTTGCTCGTTTCCTAATGTGATTTTGGAAAACTGTGTGGCTTACAAGGGCCTTGACGAACTGATTCTGGCCTATTTCAAATCTGCTGGACTCTCACCTAAGGGCTTCCTGTGCTTCCTGCTCCCTCCAGATGACATATTGGCTCCTCTCTTTGAGCAACCTCTTTGCCTGGAATATTCCTTTTGCAAGCATAGGTATGCATTTCTTGATACTCCCATGTAGCTGTGAGTGAGCTGCTGCTTTTTGCTTCTAGCACTTTGTAAATACCTCCATTAGAGACTTAAATTTTCCCATAATTCCTTTTTAAAGTCACCAGTCTTTTTCACTGGAAAATTCCTTGAGGACAGGCCTATGATTTATTCCTCCTTGTGTTCCCTAAAGCCTGTAACAGTGCCTGAAACAACTGTATGTAAAATTAACAAATGGATCCTGAATTTCATGTAGATTTGCAAGTGGAATAAAAGAAAAATGTAAATGAACTTAGGTAGGGGTCATTAATTGTATGCCTAATTCTAATTAAATTGTGATATAGTCAGAAAGCAGATCAGCCTGAGATCCAGAAGATGCAGGCTCTTGTGTTGAATTAATGATTTTTTAATAGTCCCTTAATCTTTGTAGTACTTAGTTTTTTTATCTGAAAATGAATGGATTGAACAGGATCTTTATTGAGATCCCTTAGAGCAAGAATTACATTGCTCCTAAGTTAATTATAGAGAACTAGGTCTCTTCTGCCAGCCTCCTTGAGGGAGAAAGTATGTTCTAGTCATCTGTAATTTCCTTGGCACTAAGCTCAGTATCTGGAATACAATAGTTATTCATACAATTTTACCAAATAAAGCAATAAATTCCAGGAGAGAAATATAGTTTAGTAAAGCAAATGAAAAAGAGGTCTGGTAAAGAACAGTAAATTAAAAATCTATAACATTTAAAATAGTTGTAAAACAATGTTTAGAATGTCTGAAAACATCAAAATGTCTGAATACCTACAAGAAAATTTTTATTTATCAGTTAAAAAATTCACCAGTGAGAAAAATAAATTTGAAACTGCTTGTTCCCCTAACTATAGACAGCAATGTATCAGTCTATGATGGTTGTAAAAGTTTTATGTGGCTGAAATTAAGCTCTGTCTGCTGTAGAATTTTGGTGGTAGTATCTGGAACTTGCTTATCTACTCAGAGCACTGTCTTTTAGTTTTAAGAATTGAAAACTATACCTATTTCAGGCAAGATTTGTTCAGTGATTGATATATGTGTGATTTAGTTACCCTGTAGATTGGAACTGCCTGTCTGATTAGATGCAGGTGTCAGGCCTTTTAACTATCGCTTTATAAAGATAAGGCATTATTAAATAAGTTAGATACCATCTTTCCTTTCAAAAAAAAATTAGGAAAGATAAATAATATTCTTATATTTAAACTATGCCTATATTTTTGGGTTATTGAACTGAAACTAGTATAGTTCAATAGTTAAAAAGGCAATATAATCATACTATTTATGTGTAAAAAATAATTATGAAGTATTCTAGAGCCAATCAACAAATCCACTGTTTAACCATTTCTTAGGTATGCTAGCTAATTCTGTTCTAGGCATTTATTCAAAGACCAAGAGGATAGGATAATGCCCTCAGTTAATGTGAAAAATTGGTTGTCTTAAGTAAGGGGATCATGCTTGATAGTGAACCAGATTTTTCTCCCCACCAAAATATGACATGGTTATTTCTTAAAGAAAGCAAGCGAGATAGTATTCACTCATTTTTTGCTTCCATAACTTATTGTTTGTGATTCTTGAAATTATTGTTCACTGTTTCCTCTTTGGCTTAGGCACTTCTATGAATACCGTGTTTTCATAGAACTCAAACTTTATAAAATTTGGAGGGATGTTTTTAAAGAAAAAAGTACAAAAATACAAAATTGGGTAGGCAGTTTTTTTTTTTTTTTTTTTTTTGTAGGTGAGATGTTGGGCTAGTCAGCACTATGCATGCCTCTTATTCTGAAGCTATTCTTTTATCACGATGCCAACGATAATTTTACAATTTACAGAAATATCTGCATATCCCACGTGTACCCTCCCCTAAAGCCAAACTAAATGTATCTCTAACTCAGAGTCCCATTAGCCAGCTTCAAGAAATGCATAAGAAAGCCTGCTCCCTCCCAATAGGAGGTTAAGTGTATCCAAAAGCAAATCATACAGGAAAAATATAGGAACCATAACCAAGTTTGTGTAAAGTTCCTTGCTTCTGAAAAATTTTCACAGGCAGCATGTTAAGGCCCTAGAGAAGAGCTGAGTATCTGGGAGACCCTCAGGTTTCTCCTTCGCTAGCATCTGAGTAAATTTGCCCTCATATGTCCGTTACCTTTTGCAAGAGTACTGTGACTAAACTGTGCATACTCTGGTACATTTCACATGATTTCATTAAACAGTTGTTTGATTGGAGGATCTTTGTGCCCTGGTTTGTGGGCTACATAATATGAGATGGGTTGATCTACTTCTGATTCACTCCGTGAGCATGTAGATGTGAATATAGGAGTTGAATTACTACTTTTGCTTGTTAGCAGAAGGCATTTTCAGTTCTGCAGGCAGCCCTGAACGCCTCAGTGGCCAGGAGGCACCTGATGGAATGACTGAACCGTTATGTAACACGTGCTTATGGGCATGGGAGATAATCTGGGCAGGTGGAAAAGACTCGTTCTGACCTGACACCCATTTACTGCTTAATAACTTGGTTATTAAAATTGTCCCTCTTTGTTTTATTCTCCTTAGGGTTTAGGAACAATACACCAAAACATTAATTAAAAATCTATGAAAGAACCAGCTGGCAGCTCACTGTAGTAAAATACACCTAAATGTGAGACACTGCTTGCCAGCAGAAGAGGCCTGTTTCCTCACTTTTATTTTAAAGAGACTATTAGTGGTATATAGTAATTAGCACATTAGCTTTCTATTGTGCTTGAAAAATAGGCATTGTAAAAGAAAGGATGAAAACTTAAGATTTTTTGATATAGAAAATGCTGAATGGGAAGAGGAGAAAAGATCTAATTCTGTATTAAATACAGATGCTTATCCATTCCTTGTAGATCAGAGGTAGTAATTTCAATATAAACATATTATGGAAATGAAATATTACATAGCTAGATATATTTTTCAATGAATTATGTATCATAAAATGTTTCATTTTTACCATTTTTTTTTTAGGTCAGACTGTGCCAAAATCCAAAACTTCAGTTGAAAAATAGCCCACCATATATACTTGATATTTTACCTGACACATATCAGCACTTGCGACTTATTTTGAGTAAATATGATGACAACCAGAAACTTGCCCAACTCAGTGAAAATGAGTATTTTAAAATCTACATCGATAGTTTAATGAAAAAGTCAAAGCGGGCAATAAGACTGTTTAAAGAAGGCAAGGAGAGGATGTATGAAGAGCAGTCCCAGGACAGGTAAGAATATTTCAGATTTTATTTGTTAATGTTAAAATCATCTCTATTGCTTTTTGCTTCATAGCACAAATGTTACCATGTGCTTGTTTTGGTGGAAGTGTCACACATTTGTGTACTTGCTTTTCACATTATTTAAGCCTTGTAGTTTTACATAAATTGAGACAGTGTTCTTCATTTTTTTTTTAAATAGACTTTTTAGAGGAGTTTTCAGTTTACAGAAAAATTACTAAGAAAGTACACAGTTCCCATATACTTTCCTGGCCTGCCTCCCACACAGTCTCTCATATCCTTAAAATCTTGACTAGCTTGGTACATTTGTTACAACTGACTCATTATTGGTATAGTATTGTCACCTAAAGTTCATAGTTTATATTAGGATGCACACTTTGGGCTACACAAACCTACTAGACTTGATAAATGTACATTGTCATCATCTGCCATTACAGTGTAATATAGAATAGTTTCCCTGCTCTAAAATACCCCATGTTCCATGTATTCATTGCCTGTCCCACCTCCACTCTGAACCCCTGGTAGTCCGTTATCAGAGTATTATCTCAGTAGTTTTGCTTTCTTCAGAGGGTCATAGAGTTGAAGTATATGACTTTTTCACTGGCTTCTTTCACTTAATGTGCATTTAAGTTTTCCTCATGTATTTTAATAGCTTTATAACTCGCCTCTTTTTTATCATTGAATAATACTTTATTTCAATAAATGGATACAGTGTATCCATCCATTCACCTAATGAAGGTCATCTTGGTTGTTTCCAAATTTACACATAAAGCTACTATATGTGTTGGGTTTTGTGCGGACATAAGCTTTCAGTTCGTTTGAATAATACTGTAGGAACATGATTTCTGACTCTAATGGTAAAGTTATGTTTAATTAGAAACTCCCAAACTATCTTCCAAAGTGACTGCTTCATTTTGCCTTTCCTTCAGCAGTGAGAGTTCCTGTTTCTCCACTTACACTCCAGTAGCACTTGATATTGGAATATTCTCAAGACACAGTCTTGTGCGTGTTCTAGATATGTGTGTGGGAGATATGGCTTCAAATTACATACTCTGACTAGAAACTGGGAAATTGAACAGAGGTGAAAAAGATTAAAGTTATATCAACCGAATCTTCTTTTATAACTCGGTTTCTTGACCTCAACAAAATGTGTTGTTTGGATATTTCATTATTAAATTACATGGTTAATATTGAAAATAAAATAATTTTCCATTAATAGGGCATTTATAGAATATGTACTGATAGTCAAGATTTCCAACTTGAAAGACAAATATCAATTAAAATATATAATGTCTTAGCGTTATTAAGTGAATTTTAGCTAAGACATCTCTGGATTTTAAATATTTCTTATGTATAGGAAAACCTATAAGAAACCTCTAATTTGGCTTTTGGGTTGGATAAACTAACCTCATTTAGTCTAATGCCATAGGGTTTCATTATCAAAAAATCTCTTATGTAGGTGTGTAGACTGAAGTTGTCTGTAAATACTAGCCAAACAAATACCTAGAATAAGTAAAATCATCAAATTAAACATTGGAAGATTCCCTACTGAATAAAATGACACAAATGTTTACTTATTCATAATTTTCTGTCAATTAATAATGACTCCTAATAGGCAGAGCCATCTAACCAATTATGTAACTGTGGAATCATCACTTACTAGGCCAATTTATCTTGAAGATGGTAATCTTAAATAGTTTTCCTTTAAAACTCTTAAGATTTTTCCTAGAATAGCCAGGGGATTTGAATGACCTCAAGGATCAAAAGTAGAATAGAGTAAGAACATAATGATCATATATTCTTACAAATCTAAAGGTATATCTTTATATTCCGTATTCAAATTTAGTTAACAGTGATGTTCTTGACTTCATTAAGGAAGTTCTACTTTCAGCAAAGTAATCTATTACATTTTCCATCTTGGCTATCGGGAGCACTAGGAAGGATGTAATTTGTTAGCTCTAGGAGTTTGAGTGGTTATAGTATTTTTCATAGACGTAGTACTGTGGTGTGGTAAACTCATATTCCACTTTTAAGCCTTCTTTAGGAACCCAAGGCAATTTCTTACTCAATAGATGTTTTATCATTTTCATTTTATTTGTAAATGCTGGAGGTTTTTTGTTGTTGTTGTTGTTGTTGTTTGGCTTTTTATATGGGAGCATATTATGGGAGCCCCTGTAATTGTTGATGGCAGTGTAGGTTTTTTTTAGAAGATCATAGATTGAGTAGATTGAGTAATGCTGGCTGATCATGTTGATTCAATGAGTAATGCTGGCTAATCATGTTGATTCAACTCTGTAAATTCTGTTTTAAGTGTCAAAGTAAGTTTAGTCAGTCTCCTAAATTCAACCCTAAGACAAAGTTTATTAACTCCTGTGCTACAGTAGCATATTTTTAATTGAACTTTACTGTTATTCATTATCTGGTAGTGTTCTGCAATCAGCTATGTTACTGTAAAACTTTGATGCATGGCTTCTCATAGTTCAAATTCATGGACCATTCTTATTACACTGTAATAGGATATATATTTTTGATTTATAGGTGGTTTTTGAGTGAAATGTCTTTACTTATTACATATTATAATATATACATATGCGTGTAATATCATATATTTAGTACACTTCTATGTTTCCTTAGGATTCCAAGTGCCTTAGGCCAAAGTTTGCATTATAAATAGAGCTCTGAAACATTTTGCTCTGCGGAATATAAAAGACACTTCTTAGAATTATCTCATGGTTATCTGGCAACAGAGTAGTCTGTTTAGTAGAATGATTCTTATTTTTAAATATATGGCACACTGATTAGTGGGGGTATTGTAAGTCCTGTGGACATTATTTGATTCTTTAAGTAATATCACTAGGGACATTAGTTTTAATAAGCCAGGAATGAAGGTCAATAATAGTAGACTTTGTAATTTAGAGTTCATTAACAAAACCAGCATTGTACCAAGAAGGTATGTTTGGTGAATCACAATCTTTATTTTACTGTAAGGGCAAATAGGAGAAATTCAAGTGTCAATTTTGAAGTAGCTGTTTTAATTAAACACTAAAAATTGAGCTCACTTAAATGTGATTTAAGGTAGTTCACTTAAATGTGATTGAGTATAGCAAACAAAAGAATAAATTTAGCAATATGTAGAAGGTAACTGGTGGAATTGCAGCTATATTTATTTGCTATTGAAACAGATACTAAAAGCGTAGTGCAAGCCTCTAATTTTGAAAATAGGTGGAGTAGGGGTAAAGCTGCATGCTTTCTTTGCTTTAGTTTTTCTGTAGCTTGTGTCCTTCTCTTGCCACTTTTTCTACAGTCTTTTATTTTTTTTTCCCCTACAAACAATTAAACTTCATGCAGAGTTGGTGTTTCTCCAGCTAAGTGTCTAAACATCTGAGTTGGTATTTCTGGGAAAAGTAATTCAGTGATTTCTGGCACACAAAGTTTTCCTTTGTATATGTGGAGTGGGGGTTGGGGAGCACATAGAGAAAGGTTTACTTTTAGGTACCAGAGAAGAAGAGAAACTCATATTGCTCAGTTTTAGTGGCAAATGTCAAAATGGGTGAAATGATAGCATGACTCATTCTGCTAGTAAATGCCTTTCTTTGGTCATTTAAAAGTCAGTTTCATTGATAAGCCTTTTTCATAATAAAATTTACTTTTCGTGTAATAAAAAGTCATGTGTTAATAGACTACTCTGCAGGCTGGTACTGGACACTGTTTTTTAGGATACCTAGAAATGATGGCCTAAGGGTGTTCAGACTATCTATATTTCGAACTGCTCCAGTGAACCAGAATGTTAGAACCAGTTTTTCCCTCCCACACTCTGGTTTACAATCATTGAAACAAAACCAAAAGTCAGCTGAGGTGGAAAAAGACCTTTTCACTTGATAACCGATCTGCAAAGAAAATAAACCTTATAAAAATTCATGCCAGAAAGTAATATAGAAATGTTGTCTTATTATTAATATCCTCTTAAAGCCCCTAAACCGTTTCTTCTGCACTGTGTTGCCGAACACAAATGCTAGTTCCTGTAGCTTGTAGAAAAATACACATTCCAATGAAGATGTTCTTCCAGCCATTTGCAACAACCTGGATGGACCTAGAGGGTGTTCTGCCGAGTAAAATAAGTCAGATGGACAAACACTACATGATGGCACATAGAGCAGCAAAGCAAATTAATGAACTAAGTAAAACAAATATAAACTTTAAACGTAAGACCAAATAAGAGATTGCCAGAAGGGAATGGATGAGTAAATATGGCAGAAATGTCACACACACGGTGAGGTATTGAATCGGATATTTAGTGGTAGACTTCTGTAGTATATACAATTCTTGCTTTAATAATGATGACACCTGAAACTTAAATAATGCTATATCCACAATGTTACTTCAGTAAAAAAGAAGGAAACAAATTAGTCATCGAAGATTTTAGCTTTATAAAGCCCATTAGGAATTTTAGCCAGACAGTTATCTATTTCTCCAGTGACCGTTTGGCTGAACAAAGAGAAGTATATAACCTGTTACATTAATAAAGTTCCTTTTCTCTAGAGGACTACAGATCAGTGTGCTTGCTGTTTTTGTCTGTGTTGTATTTTAGGAGATAGTGTTCTAAGAACATTTTGGAACTGATATGTTCAAGATATATGGCTAAGCTAAAAGTTGAAGCAGAAATATCAATAAGAATAACAAAACATGAAGCTGCACAAACCTCACTTTCCTCATACTGCTATATGACATCTCTGCATTGGCCAAAGAATAATGTCCTATTGATTTAGATAATTAAATTTGTATAACTTGTTGATTGCATGGTCACTAAAGTACTTTGAAATCAATCTCTCATGGTTTTTCAGTTTAGCCATATGGTGATTCATCTTTATGTAAAATTTTGGGCTTTCTGTAGTAGTTCTAATTATTGCTGCACCTCTGGGTTAGTGGCCTTGTTTTAATGCAACCTCAGGGTTCACATTTTCTCATAGGCAGCTCCGTACATTGTGAGAAGG